TGTTCTTTTGTATTTAAAAATCGGCATACCTTTAAAACCAAAGCTCCACAAACCATATATAATACAATGTGTAACATATTAATAATACTAGCAATAGGTACAAAATTATTGCCATTAACATAAACATTTATACAAAATTTGTAGCTCGATAGAATGGGTTTAAGTGGTAGAACAGACAGTGTGATACACTTTGGTTCCCACCAATTTGAACTTTCGCCCCTTTAAGCTAACATACATTGCTCATTCACTAAAATATTTACTGTTTAGCTCAATAAATGACTGTTATTACTATTATTATTATTAAATAATGAACAAATAATAATAATATGGTAGGGTATTATTAAGAACTACCTATTATTAAATAATTTTCTCTTAGGCGATCGATTTCGACTTTAATGTCATCTTCAGGCCGTATCTAAAATATACATTATCGTATGTTAACAAGTTAAACAAACTATAATGGTATAATGGAGTATCAAGCATAATAATATGGTCTTTATTTCAACACAGATTTTATGACAATTATTATAACATATCGCATGGTGCGAGATTCAACTACCCCCAATGTTAGCTGCCTACAAGTTACGAAGTTTTTCTGAGCTCGTGGTGCAACATTACAGATCCAACATACATCCATTCATCCCCCAATAACGTCCTAGTAGTGGGTCAGATAAATGCCAGAAAATGCTTTAATCGTTCAGTTGGTAACACAAGCATGACATTTGGTATGAATGTTCATATAAGGGCACTGCTTTATATAAAAATACTGGTCACTGAGGAATTCTATGGTCGCCGTTTTCCAAAATTGCGACACATATTAACTACCCTTAGTGGTAAGTCCCACGACCATAAAATTTGGTATGAATGCTCCTATAAGGGTTTTGTATGAAGTTATATAACTAACATTGTCTAAATTATTTATCTAAGCGTATTTACGTGAACGTGTTGTATTTTTCAAGGTAAAGTTGTTTTCATAGAATTTCTTATTTCGTTAACACGTTTCTTTTTATTTTATGCCATAAAATGTTATTTAATTAACTATCTTTCTTTTACCTATATCGCAATCCGAAACCCATCTTTCTTTTGTAAAGAGCATTAACACTCCTATCCATGAAGTACTGTTCTATTACGAAATGGAACTAGTTCACCAACCTATGATTGATATATTCTGCTAATATGTTAGCTGGAACTCATTTAAGACTTGATATTTAAAATCATACGTTCTGCAATGCAATATGTGAACCTACCGGAACAGATTCCAAAGTGCAGGTAAGCTGTAATTGTTTTTGTCGTGTCTATTTCATTGCCGTACAATTTTGCGACCGTCGCGTCGTGACGAATTACTTTGCAATTGATTACCTACATGAAATAGAGAAGTTGCTAATGTTAAATCAACTGTACATTGTAAAATGATAAAGGTACAGGTCTTTTTGTATAGAATTTTCTTTAGAAATAATTTGTTGGGTTTTGGTTCCCTGTAGAAGACACATCTGTGTCACATTGTGGACAAAAAAATCGGGTGTATAAATTTATTATCGTTGTCAAAAGATGAGTGAATCGTTTTCGTTCTCCTATTTCACGTACTGCTTCAATATTAATGCTCCAACTGCAACCACTGCTGTTTAGGTCTCTTGCAAACATATTTGTGTGCCATAAAGTAATTTGTTTTTAAATTTATTCCATGCAAGACAACTTCTTATCTTATGAGGTAAATGGATGTAAATTTTAATTCACAAAACAAGTGGAGAATTTTGTCTCGTCAATAATTCTATCCTGAACTGACTATTGTTGCGTAAATTATAAGAGTGTCTATCTGTATTTGTTTTTAATTGCTTTCCTAAGTATAACTTGTAATTTGTAAAGGTAGATGAAAAGAAGTTGTTAGTTGTTTTGTTCGATGAACGGAATGAACGTATAGTATGAGAACTCACTTCTCAAATTATGTAATCTAGCTGGTGGGTATAAGGTAATAATAATACCCACTAAAGCATCTTTATTAATATTAAAGAGTACGTAAGTACGTGGCCCGAAATTTTTCACGAAAAAGATCAGATTATTTTCGTATAAAGTGTCGATTGCCCACCAGCCAAAAGGCACGTGATTACGAAAGCAGACATGGATTTAATAACTTTTCTGCACGAATGTATTATAGACGAAATTTTCATGACAGAACAGTTATTTTATCGTTTATGAACACATTTATAGCCTAATATGCCATAATAAACTAAAGTATAAGTACTGTAATGAATGCCACTAATTACAATTGTCAAAATCCTTAAATTTAAATTAAAGTACGTGTTGTAAAATTCGAGAGGAAGTTATTACGGTGCTAGAAGCATTGAATTTAATTCAATGCTAGAAGGAAACAGATCAAAGCTACTGTAAGGGCCGGTTAAGATATCCTTGCAATAAAGGCCATAGTTAATAGCAAACGTATTAAATGTTCATGTCTAATCAAAAGGAATTTATTTGAGTGTAGAAGAATGTATTTTCCACTTACCTATTTTAGCTACTGCCTCAATCCCCATTTACTAACGTGTACTTTTCAGCAGAGTAATTGAGAAAATTTAAAAAAACAAATAAATAAATTGTTATTCTATTTACCTGCATATACAGGGTGGTGCAGACCAGTCATTCTATAACTCAGGGACAATTGTTAACAAATAACCCAGGGATCTTACTAATATTGTGTTTTCTATGACCCGAAAATTCGATCCCCCAGTCTCCACTTCTTTAAAGGAGTGGGGGAGGCACTATGTAATTTCAAATAGGAACTCAAATAGGAAATAGGAATTTATTGAATAGAATCGTTTAGCGTTGTAATCAGATCGCAAATTATAGCATACATTTAAACCACTGCTTATATGATGATTTCTAGAGTCATTACAAACCAAATAACCATTAGTCTCTAAAATACAAAGACATTGAGGACTATAACGTGGGTTGGGTATGGTGGTGATAATTGTGGACACGAGTTTCTGCAGCTTAAAGAAATTCTAATGAATCTACATTCTGATGGAGAGTTGAGGGTATGTCAGTGATCGCCCAGTTATCTCGGCTCCACCAACTCACTCAATGACGATAATGTTTGTGCAATTCTTTTGGGTTATTCAGAGATTAACCAGTTATTAAGTATTTGATTGTCAAAATTATGTGACTGTTAATGTTAAGGTACAGGGATGTTTCTAAATTGGGCCAGTTTATTCACAAAATGACATAATTAAGTTGAGCAGATGGATATTAGCCAGTTCTCCTCTCCACTCTTGGAATGCAGGAAACTACGATTTTCAATAGCTATTTTCTTAACAAGTGCGTGAAGTTGGTGATTCCGAAACGAAAGCATGATGTTACGAAAAGCAACGTAGCGAGTTTTGGTACCTGCTTGAGGTACCTTCGCGCACATGTTAGGAACAAGTTTTTGTTACAATCGTTTAAGAATTAATCAAATCGCGTGCGCAAAGTGTTCAATTCTGGCACTAGTGCGGGAATATCAATAGATTGTAGGAAACATATATTTTTGCTATTTTGCTATTTCGATTAAATTTCCATTACAAGTATCTGTGTGTTGCCTTTATGTTTATCTACTAAAGACGTTTTCGGAAATTGGGTTGGTAGAAATTACCATGAAGACAGTTGTGGCAATAATTGTTACCATGACAAAATCTCCTGACCCAGTTAGTTAAACAGGTTGAATTTGAAATACTCCTGGTCGTTTCCTATAGTTCACCAGATATCATAGTAGGTAACCTTAGCATTTCCACAACATAGTAAAAGTTCCTATAGTTTATGCAACTGAGGTAGTTTTGTTGAGGCAATCCTCCTTGGGGTTCAGTTAGTTCGGCGGGCAAATGTTTATTGAATTTTGAGTTTGTGGGACTCCACCCTGTATATACAACCTACGCCTATGCACACATTTTTGAGAGCTGGTAACCGCGCGTCTTATTAGAAGGGGAAAACTGTCTTCGCCACCGTTTTCTTTCTCCTTCTCAAAATGTTGCACTAAGTTTAACACAAGCTGTTTTGCTTCGGTATGCAAAGTTTTACCCTTTGCAGACATGGGAATTCGTAGAGAGAGATTAAAGTGATTAATAGGATACACGTAAGTGACGGATTAGTTCTCAAAAGAACTGATTGAAAAGTGCGTAACCGATGATTTAAAAGTGCGTGACAGGTAAACAATTAAAAATCACAACTGTCAAACAAATATACGGAAGAACTATTTTAGTCAAATGAGAGTTCAAATTCATACGGTTTACAAAACGCAATGGTTATTCGTTTTTGTTTTTTCTCTTTCTACCTCATTATCTCATTCAATAACTCACTTCGTTTCCTTCAAATGCACTTCAAATATTCACTGTCTTTATTTGATGTGCTGTTTTTCATGTGACTTTACTATAAACGTTTTGGATAGCTAGAGTCATTTACTTATGACGTACCGGCAATCTCTAATGGCGAGGATAATATAGGTCAACTGTGCAAAGTTTGAACCGAATCGTGACCACTTGACCAGGATGCATTGACTATGATGTGTGTGGAAGGGACTTGGTTGATCTGAAATGTGTTTTTTATTTATATCTTTGCTTATACACACAATCGGAATTGGTAGTTGCATAGGTGGTATAAACACGGAACATCATCTAAAGTTTGCACCACTACATATCCCACATACCTACAAATTCGAACAAAAACTAATAGCGAATCGTGACAAAGCCTAAACCTACCTTTATCTTCTTATAAAATGCAGACGGCGCAGCAAATGTCCCAACAGCAACCTAACAGTGTTTTATGTTTTTATTTACTGTCTAAATGACAAAGAACTAAATGAAATGTATCGAACGCATAATATTCTGGTGTATGAAATCCGAGTATGTAAGTTGTGCTTAATTAACGAATGTGAATGCAATTGGTACTCGAAAGTAATGCAACTGCAGGTGCGACGACTTACCTCAGTTTTCTGCGCTTAAAATCCTCCAAAGAAGTTTGTGGAATAATAAAGTCGGTTGAATATTACTTGTCGTTTTTATTTGCTTTATATGCACAGTTTGATTTGGAATGTTTAGATGAGGACATTGCCTCGAGGGGCACAGATCTTATAACAAAATGAGGCTGATGTAATTTTGAAATTACATAACACATAAATAATAATGGCTATATATGTACAAAGTATACAAAAAGGTATGGGTTCATTTAATATACAAGCCTCAGTTATTTGGTAGATAAATCTGCAATTAAATTGCTAACCATTAAAACATGATTATAATAATGAGGCACCAGATTACGTTATTATTCTGTAACTCTTGTAAAATGGCAAGTTCAAAAATATAAAAACGTAACAATTATTATATACTAACATAGCATAACGTGGTGCCTCGACATTTATAGAAATAAATAACTGATATACAGAAAAGTTAATACATAAGTGTGTTAAATTAAAACCCCATAGGGGTTAAAATAAATGCAATACAATTATTTTGTACACTGTTAATAATACATTAACTAAACTAACGCATTATAAATAGTCTCACATGAGTGTTCTTTCAAGCAAAGTATAATTATTACTGCAAAATACTGACACATAAATGCACTGGTTTATAATTTCCATATGCACAAGCTTGTAATATCGCGTTACATACAACGTCCTTGTTTGTACGCTTGCATTGATCTACATTAATTTTTCCTATGTACCGAATTGTCAATGGCACAAAGCTGCCTTATTTCTTCTCTCACCTTGTGCCGTTTTATTCGCTTCATCCTCTCGCAGAAGTCGTTATAGGTAGACGAGCAATTCGAACCGTTCTGTTTGGAAACGCGCATGAAGGCTTCCGGCTGACACTTAGATCTTTTCTTGACATTCGATTTCTTGCCTATCCTCTGCTGACCGTTACTCTTAAAGCTCATAACGTAACTTCTATTTTTTGTCGAAACGTACTTTGTATATGCACCGTCGGTTGGCAATTCTTCAAATATACATAAACTAATATCTTTGGGGTTCCTCTACAATTAAACAAATAATTGCACATGAAACGAACCTACACGAGTCTAATGGCTTACCTTAGGCACTAATCTAGATGTTTTCTTATTATACTTCCAACATACAAACATATTTGCTATAGGATCGAATAATAAAAATCCATGAGAATTATTTACGGTTATTGTAAAAAGCGTATCTGCAAGGTAAACCCCCTTTACTAAATATAAGCCTTCATTAATTCCATAAAAACAAACTTACTGTTAGTATCTGTATCTGCAACGATATCCTTGTTATTCACTCTGAGATATTTCTTCGAACAGGAATTGTAAAAAGCTGCAGGTTTAATTGGTTGAAGATCGCCACAAGTTTTTTGATGATGCACAGGTCCGGAGTGCACGACACCAGAAATCAGCTGAAACAAAGAAAACAAGTTGACTATAACACTTACGGCATTCACATTTTTTGTGACTTGTGAAGAGTAAATTTGAAGTATCTGGTTATGGAGACCCACTCTATACATACATAGTAGAGCCGTATTGATTATTTAGATCTATTTACTTGTTATTAGGGGTTTGTTAAAGTGTAAATCAGGGTGTAAATGTTTGTGATTTCATCGTTCAGGGATAAGGTGGATAGATTTTTTGTCATTCTTACCATAAAGGAAAAGAACTAGCAATAGCCTTCTCAAACTTTCGACATTCACGTAATTATCACAGCTACGAAATATGAGATCAGTTGTACGGATTTAATTCGATATAAGCTGAAAATCGTAAAATCGTATGCTGTTCTGGTTTTCTATACTCTTACTCGCCATTTTAAAATTTCGTTTCACACTATCACACAGATTGCATCATGTTGTATGCGAGGTTGTATGACTACCTTCCGCACACCTTTGGGGGGGACGTACGCCGAACGAAATGGGCCCATAGATACAACTAAGACTTCTTTTGGTCGAAATAATAAAGTTGTGTTCGGTACCTATAAGTTAAAGTAGTGCAAGGTAAATAGCCACACTATTTTAAGATTGTGGACGCCTTTCTGACTCTAAATGTGAGTGCAAATCATCTGATTCTAGCTAAACGATGGCGGCTTCAGTCATTATGAAATTCCCTTTAATTTAATGCAACGTTGTGTGGTCAATTTAAATATTAGAACAAACTTGAATCTAATATGTTTAGGAAAAAGATCTGTGAATTCCCAAAGAGGTTTGTAAATTCCCAAATACAACTGTAAAATTTTAGAAAAATGGGACAACTTTTTCGAATTCTCGATTTGCAAATTTACAGCCAGATCTATAAATTAATAAAAAATAACATAAAATAAACATAATTTCATTATATCTGGTCGTGCACATCTCGCATTAAAAAATATGTGTATATAATATGTGTACAATTAAAGAATGATATCTTCTTTAATTTAATTGTAATTTAATTGTTGCAATAGAGATTGTTAATAAAATGTCCTTATTAATTAATACTCTGTCGGCAATTATAGGCATGACTATATCATTCTTGTTGACTACCAAGAGGCGGTTATTTATGTGTAAATTTCATTGACAAAACATAAACGCACATTCAATGGATGTTCAACAAATGAATTTATGCATTTATGCAAAATCGTTATTTATATACTGATTTCGTTGCGAAAATGTGGAAAAACTTTACTTTCTCGTCTTTAGTTCTGGTCTCTCACACTGGCGGGTGGACATATTGACAGGCGATACTATACTCTAGAAATGTCATCTTATTTTCGAGAAATACTGATTTAAAGTAAAATACAGTTACAGCATTAAATTCTAACTGAATAACCGTGTAAACAAATATAGCAAACGAGCTCCTGGGTATGGCTATAGCATGTGCAAAACTAAATTTTGCACCTGGTGTTACATTTGCTTTTATTCTAAGTGCATATTTATCAAATTTCATTTAAACGCTTTCATAAATAGGAAAGTTGGCACTGCGCATCCGAAAACCAAATTTTGAAACTGGAGTTGGATTTGCATTTATCTCAAGTGCCAACGTATCAAATTTCATTTAAATACCTTCATAAATAAAAAAGTTTGCAATACGGTTCATAAATGGTCGAGATGCGAAAAAGGCATTGTGAGTGTTGAATCGATTAGATTCAACTTTTGGCATTGCAATTTATTTGGCTAAAGCTATATCTATATTGAATTTCATGCAAATCAGTTCATAACTAACGGAGATTTCAAAAGGGCGTTCCTTATTTTTTTGGCCTACATTGACAATTCACGAACTCCGATCTACAAATTTGATAACGAATCCCCTGCAAAATTTCATCGTAATCGGTCCACTTGTTTCCGGGATATCGTGCTAACGGACAGATGGACAGACACCGCAAAATTATAAACTCGCTAGAAGCTCATTAATAAGATTCTTATTCTTGAATTTTTATTCTTAATTCTTAGAAAACGAAATTTAATGTAAACGTGGTAAGTTGACTGCCAAAACAGAAAACACGAATTTCTTTTGAAAACATTCTGTGGTTCTGAAAAAAACCGTTTGTAAAGTTTGTTAAGATTGTTTGGAATCATTAATCATTGTTATTTTTTCAATTATTAATGAATTTTAAAATAATAGCGTTTATTTTCAAAACTCGATAATTCGGAAACGATTGCATTTAGATACATTATGCTTTCTACAAATTTTGCTTAAAATTGAGAGAAGAATTGAAATATTGAATAATATACAGTGTTCCATTTCAAAAAAATGCAGTTTTGGTGTGCCGTGTCTTTATGAGCAACCCTGCATAATTAAAATTATTACTGCCTAGTAAACATATTTCGATATCTTGTATATTTTCCTCGATAATCGACCGTTTCTAAACTTATCAGCGACCCTGTAGATTATTATATTTTTAAAATTTTTGAAATGACCACCAACCTTTTTTATTGATTTGTTTCGGCTGCCTTAGTTACCAGTAACAAAACAAAACCTTCATGATTCCATGCCCTACTCATTAAAAACCATCAAAAATTAGATTTTTATCTTCGGTTGGTGGTGATCAGAAAAAAAGTGCAAAACAGATTGACGTAAGATACACAGTGTGTTGCATTTAAAAAACCAGGTGTCAAATTCTTGACAGAATAGCTTCCTAGCTGAAACCAAAAATTGCCAACATATGTACGCAGTTACAGACGGGAAAAATTTATTCTTTAAAAGTTGCTTAAAATGATCTAAAACGTCAACATTTGATGAAATTTCGCATTGTACCTAGCTCATGCTATGAAGAGAAAAGCTAATGTTCCATAAATAAGAAAATTGCATTTCTGCGCATGCGCAACACGATTTTTGCGCATGAATTTTGTTTGCTTTTATTAAAGGGACTTACCATAGAATTTCGTTTAAATTGCTTCAGAAACAAGATCGTTGCGTTTTGCACATATGCAACACAATTTTTTGACTTTGACAATTTTTTTTCTCCGTTTTTTGATAATATAACCCGGCCCAATTTTTTGTAGGTTGTACACAGGAAAATAAGGTCTTCCAAATAATAGAATAAACATTTTAGGTTGCTATTTGAAAAAAAAAAGTTCGATGCCGTTACGGCGCTCCAAAATTTCTTTTCAAAAATCCGGCCCGTTATTTTTCTGTTCGGTATGCCTAAAACATATATACAAAATTTCAACAAAATCCGTCTAGCCGTTTTCTCAGAAAATTGCCAACAAACGTACGTACGTACGTGTACGTACGTACATACAGACAGAAAAAAATTTTATTCTTTAAAAGTTGCTTAAAATGGTCTAAAACGTCGACATTTGATGAAATTTTGAAATGTTCAAAAAACGGCTATCGCAATAGCTACCTAGCACATGCTAGGAAGCTAATACCAATTTCAAATCTCAGAAAAGGTGATCCAAAAATTTTTTTGACTGCGCCACTAGATTCTACGTAAAAATATCTATAATGGGTGGTTTTTACCTTTTCTCTATCAAACGTGTTTGTTTGTAGTATTAACAGGCGTCGCCTAGTTTTCATAATGTTCCTTTCACTCTGTGACGTCATCTTCGGCCAACTTCGGAAAAATGACACGCTACCTTTGGTTTCACAAGACTGAGAAAATTTGGGGTTTGTGAGTAGCAAATGTCACTCACAATCGCCAAAACATCTCAACCTCCTCCCAAGATTGAACAACAATAATTTTTAAAAAAACGCGATTGTAAATGATAGACTATGCGCTCCAATTGTACAAAGTAATCTTATTTGTTAAATTTAAATTTGGGAAACCGAGAAAACCACACGTTCAGGCACCCTGATTGGTCAATCTCTGAGGATGTAAGCTATATCAGGTTTCTCATGGTAGCCTTTCGTTAGAAGTTTTAGTAAATAGAGAAGTTTTATGATTTACTCAATTATTCTTGATATTTCGAATCATTTGAGTAAATCACTCAACTCAAAAGTTATAAGTACAATGCAGGGTACAATGTTATTCCGTATATTTAGACAGCGCGTTCATTATAAGGGAAAAAAACTTTAAATACAAAACCTGTGTGTTTTATCATAAATCGCCAGAAAATGGAAAGTAAGAAAACAAATGAATATCGCAAAGTTAATAAACAAATGCAAACTTGGTACATTTTTAATCGAACGCCCTGTATATTTTTTAAGAATTTAATAGATCTTTTCTTTCTGATTTCAAAAATATATAATGTGTTGACAGAAAATGTATTGCAAATATATAATGATGATCATATCTACCATTTGTAAATTTTGGTTGGATATTGTTATTTGAAAATAAATATTAAAAAGTAAAGTTAGTCTAGCTAGGTTATTTTCAGGGTAAAAGTAATTTAATTAATGTTCAATACTAATGCCCACTTGTTTTGTTATGGCAACTGCGATTTGGTAAAACAATTTGATAATGTGGTATAAATGCAAATATTTCAAAAACGGCTAAAGCAAATGTTAACATATTTGTTTTTGAAATCGGAAAGAAAAAATCTAACCAATTCTTCAAAAATATACATGGCGCTCCATTATAAATTCACTAAATTTGCATTTGTTTACAACTTTGCAATATTCATATGCTTTTTTTTACTCTGCATTTTCTGGCCATTTATGATAAGCCCCACAACTTTTATATTTGAGGTTTTTGCTATTTTATAATAAACGCGCTAGCGCTGTCCAAAATAACCGTGTACCTTCAATGTACATTCTAGGGATGAAATACATTACTTATTTTCCGTTGCATAAATTGTTGAAAATAAATACCTATTTGCATGTTTGTCCAAAGTTTCTCACGAGTGCTGCACTTCGCTTACATGTGTTAACAGTTAATTATTCAAATCTCTCAAATTGTTAAAACAATAAATTAAATTCTTGACGCATCTATACTACAAATCATTGCGGTCTATGGCACTATCAGAGAATTTGAAGTAATTAGTGAAAGGTCCCTTAAAAACCGATTATTGGGAAAGTAAATGGATTTATAAGTAGGTACTCACCACCATTAGAATTAGTGTCCTCAATGCTGATACTACCAGAAGCTGTGATATCCTGAAAAACAAGAAAAGACTATTAATTCAAATTAAATGCACGCCAATACCGATATTTTCAGGAAATAATTTTGCAACAGAATATTGTGCTATATTATTAGCTTTCGAATTAATGTGACTCAATTTACATGGAGATTAAATGACTTAGGTGACCTAACCGCATACCGCAAGTTTTTACAACAGAGTCAGGAGTAGAATTTATTATTAATTACGTTTAGTAAACTACATTTTATTAATTCAATCACTTTCAGCGTGTGTTAAAATAATTAAATGATATTTATAATGAGCACGGCCCGTCCAAAAAACAGGTGCCCAATAACATTTTTATTGCCACATCGTTTTTATTGTGAATAAGAAATTCCAGGAATGCGGCAAGAGATAAGAAAACAATAAATTTATGTGATAATAGAAAATAATTTTGTTGACCTTGTCAATGAATTATATTTTTAATGTGAGGCCATACAAATAAACTGCAACGGTTTAACACTTCACGCCATGTATATCCACTAAAATTAATTTTTTGCTTATATTAAAACAAGTTTTTGCTGATAAAAATGATGTAAAATGTAATTGGCTTTAAAGATCTTAATAATTTAAGGTGCAAGTTTTAATATGTAATTAAAATTAATAATTATAAAACGTTTATCTTCAAGGTTGTATATTTTAATTGATTTGATGGGGCGATCATGAATATGAACTCGAATAATTATGGCAAAAATCATAACTTGTTATGGTGGAAAATTTCTAAAACATGTATTTCTGCAGAGTATCGTATAGGTACCTATTGATTCCAGAGTTAAAAAGGAAATTGAAAGTGCGGCGCCACTAATTTGTTAGAAATCGATAACGTTTAAAGTTTGTTCAATTGCGTTATCAGTACAATAAGGCTTGTTGACACACTTCGTAATGTAAGAGTTCAATGAACAACACCTGAAATTCTGTGATGAAATATCGAATGAAATCGGTTCCCGTGGGTAAAAGAGATGAGTAACTCACCAGAACAAATTAACCATTTCTGAAAACCGGGTGTCGCGATTTCGCACATATGTGACAGGAACGGATGGCACAATAAACCCTCGGCACGCGCCAGCATTACTAAAAGACCGTGGCCGATCGCTTTGACCAACTATTAATGCAAATTTTTCTTATTGAATGAACAACTCGCATTAAATGTGTTAAAATTACATATACATATATTGATGTAAGTATTAAAAGACGCCGTGTGAAGTTTAAAGGCTATAAAAAAGTGGCTGAATGGGGCGACGGTCCGGACATTCTAAGATGACGCCGCGGCCAGCACTAGAAACGATTAAGGCTATATAGTATGTATGTAAATCATGATGTTTGAAAACAACTAGGCACTAACACTACTTAGAATTCCACAAAGCTTAGGAATTTTACTTTTAAGTGACATAAAAGTCATTGCGGTGGTGATCGTTTAAGTGTAAGACATCATCGACTTGGATTCAATCTCATGCAATGTGGCAAAGTAAAGACACTATTTGATTGCAGAAAATACGCGGAATGTCACTTTCGCCTTCTTATTGGTGTAAACACCGATTATCTGAGTCACTGTTCAAGCCAATCTATAATTAAAACATAACGTAAAAAGCTTTAATGGCCCGAAGAATAGTAAATGTAGTAAGAACATCGTCAAATCCCTTTAATTAAGCAACGTTATTGGATGTATCAGAAATGAAAGTAATAAAGAAATATACCATGCAAATAAATTTTATTTAATGCCCCTGTCGATTTTACATATTTACGATCGTTTACGTTCTCTTAGAAGATCGCACGAGTTTACGGAAGTAGAAATTAAATCAATTAATTAAGATACTCAATTGGCACGTCTAGTTTACTTAATAAGAGTGATTATACCGAATAGTCAGTGTATATATCGAATTACTGATTAATAGCGTGAGTGAAACATTTCAAATTAAAGGTTAGCGATTAAAGATTTCTGTGATTAAAGTCAGCTTTAAGCAATAAGCTCATACTATTAAACTTCGCAAGGTCGTAATATTATTAAATTATATATTATTTTCAAACATTAATTTATTCTCGTTAAGTAGGTAGTAGGACGAAAACTCTAATCGTAATTTCTAGTGAAGTACGAGAGCCTTGATATAGACATTATGAGTATTCTTCGGATAAAGGAGGCCAAATTATAGATTCTAATGTTTTACGTTGTCACGTTTGTGAAATTTGCACAACTTTATACAATGTACATCGGCTGTATTGCATTCGCCATAACGTAGGAAATTTTACAGTTCTCGGGAAATTGGTCAAAAGCTCAACAACAAAAAACAGGCACGTGGGTTTTCCCGTGCACCTACATAAATTGATAAGATCGTAAGAGCTACTCGATCTTTCCATAATCCCCCAATTAATGTAAAATACATAATTTCATATTAAAACTTATAAAAATAAGAATAAAATCATCAAAAACCTATAAAAATGTGGAAGTCTCTAGAATTTGCAGTGATTTAGAATGGAAACCGTTTTGGTAGAACACACACCACCGTCTCATTTCAAAAAGATCAATGAAATGAGCGTAAAAAAACGGATTCAGTCTATAGCGAGAAAATTACTATACGCTTACGCCCTAACTTTCGATCGAATGTAAAGAATCCGCTACTTTAAACCTACTTTTGTGGGTGTAACTGTATATGGGTAATCTCAAGTGGATACGTCGAAACTACTCTTCAATCAATTTTCTTGCTACCTGAACTGTTCTTGACCGGCGTTTAAACATTATGCGATTTTCATTTACACTGCGAATTTAGCTTTAAAGCGATGTCTACAAATTTGACATCAAATTCAAAATCGCTTATGCCATCTGACGCACTATTCCGAAGTAGAAGCGTTGAACTCAATCTCCCAAGTTTGTCGGATCAAGTTGAAGTGTTGTATCCGATCAAATTTCCACCCTGCAATAACATTTAAGTATGCGGCATATTCAACCTGATTTGCAACAACCGGATAGAACCATTTTCTCTTCAAACGGCATTTTATAGGGAGACATTTTTGCGCATGATGAAGTTCAAACTATCATTAAATGGGATACATATAGATTCGACTGAACATGTTGGAATATTCCAACTCTTAAACAAAGAAGGACATTTCTTACTTTGACTTTCGGGTATAAATTACTGAATGGTCACCTAAACTCTACTGCTATTGTATCAAAAATTAACATCAGGGTTCCACAACGTTTCGTCCGTACCATGCCCCTACTGCAAACTAGGCACAATGGAACGCTGCGTATTTCCGGAACAGTCCATTGGATCGGATGGTTGGCCTAATCAATGAGTTCAGTGCGAGTGTTGACTTTTTCAGTCCTATTTCAGTATTTTCAGTACTATTTTCTCGTTTAAACGTAGTGTTACTATCGAGGTTAATATTAAATAACCGTGTATGTGATATTTTAATGTGTTTTATAAGTTTGTTTCTTACTTTTTACTTCGTAAAATGCCTATGGCGTAAATAAAATTATTATTATTATTATTATTATTATAAGAAAAACCCAGAATGTGGGTGTTTTGGACGAGGATTACACTAGTAGGTACAGGCCCAGGAAAGTTCACAGTAGTTGCGACGGATTCACCAGAGGTATGTTAGTTTTTTCTGATCGAAGGCATGTTACATGTTAATTCCTTTTTAGGGTTCAAGTTTTGGGTTCTCAGTTTTAATATTAGGTTCGGGGATTTTAAGTTTTAAGGTCGATTCTCACTTTCGTGCAAGGCACGTACTCGGCACAGGCAAGGCACCGACTCGGCAAAATATCTATATTATTGAATCTTATGAATTTTTTTGGGTGTAATTCACACTATGCGAGCAAAGACTCGGCAAGCTACGGCCTTTGCACGCGGCATTCTTCCGAAACAATATTTGCCGGGCATGTACCGTGCACGTTCCGACAAGTGTGAATACAATCTGTGCAGGTCACCGACTTTAGTTCAGTTTTCATAGTACAAGAAACGTTGAAGGGTCAGCAAAGGAACACTTTTTCAGCGGAACAAGATGAGATGCTGATTGAATGTGTCCGAGAAAATGATTTCGGTCATAAAAGATACTTCTTATGCATTTTATGTACACAAAAACGTATTTTTCTTTTTCTGCAATATGTACTTTCTTGTTCTTCATCATCTAATATTAGACCAATTTTAATTAACGTGGAAGTTTCGAACATTTTCACAGCAGAAACTCACGTAGAAACTGCTTACCTGCGGCAAGCTTGTCGCAGTGTGAATTGAACTCAAAAAACTTTGCCCGTGCCGAGTATGTGCCGTGCAGTTGCCGAGCCGGTTCTTTGCACGAAAGTGAGAATCGGCCTTTAGTCTACCGCTTTAATAGTGCGAGTGTAAATTCGACAACCACGTAGATTACGACGCTTAAAAAGATATTTGATCTGTCAAAGCACTGGCAATTTGTGTGGATAGTGAACGCTAAAGCAGGGCGAATCTCGGCCAGCCTGGTCAACTAGGATAAACTACTTACTCTGGAATTCAAATGATTTGGTAATTATTGGATAGTTTCCTCTTCAAGGAACATTTCAATGACATCTTTTTAGCGATTTAAATGTCATTATTTGTTCGTAATCATTGTTTTGTCTCCCAAATCGATATATATTATGATCGATTTTGAACGCGGTTTAGACGTGCTTTGTTAACGTAATCGATTTTGAATTAGGTGTAATGGGGATTAATTATCATTTACCGACTCACTTAGCTCTGGTTGTAATTTTCCTTGTTTCTTTCATTTGTTTTAGGCTGTTATCGTTCGAAGAGGACTCTTTTCTTGCGACGGCGTTCACTACATTAAAGGTAAGATTTTTACATGGTTACTTGTGCCTCTATCATCGATGCGAATTCTGTTCTGGATTTAGTAACTTGGAATGTATTGAGGTTCAATTTAAACATAATAGTTTTGATATATGGGAATATTTCTGTAGTGGGAGGGAATATTTAATTTAGCTTATTGACTGTCTGATTGGTTAAT